TGTGCGTTGAGTTCACACATTTTGTGCACATTAATTGCGTGTAATGCTTTCATAAAAGGCTCTGTAAATAATTCTTATGAATGATGAGAATAGACTGATTACTTTATTCTCTGTAGTTCAAAGTCTATTATTTTTCCTGTTTCTCATAAATATGGTTACTTCAGCAAAAAAGAAAATGAATTAGTGGGCGCACATTTGTGAGCTGAATAATTAGTAATTATTATCATAAAAATTTAACTGAATTAGATATTTCATTCATTCGCGTGTGTAATTACAGGAAATAGCGGGGTATACTGTGAAGATGCTCTGCTAGGTGTGAATAATATGAATGGAAGAAATGAACTCAGTGTTGTTGTAATTCTTTGAGAAGAATAAGAATCATGTCTCACCCGAAAAAGTCGTACTTGGAAACGATTTCATAGTAGTCTTTTCATATAAATAGAATCAATACCACAAAAATATTTTCCTACATGGCTTTTCATTAAAAATTATTCGTTGCTTCTACATTTTATTCTGCGTGTAATGCATTTTTTTCTCTTTCCCACAGTGGGCAGTATATTAAGAATTGTGTTTTTAAATAAAAGTTTTTTTTTCTTCCATTGAAATTATATATTTTGTTAAATATAGTGCGCGTAAATTTTGGAATAATAGCTTATTAGGAATCAAGTGTATATTATCGATCGTTGGCGCACTATTTGCATGGTGTACGCGAGGTCGAGGATTTTCATAAAGAATTTATGTATTTACGCAACTTTTCCGTCATTATTATAACATATAATTCAACACATAGTATATGAAATGTACCGAGTTCAATATTCTCCTTCATGTGTTCTTTATTATAACTATATATACACCCATATAGTGTGTTATAATCCATAACATTACATTAGTGAGTTCATCGTAGCAGATGAGACTTAAGAATAGTTTAAGCGATATAGCATGAGTTATGATTATAGTACGGCTGCGTGAATGTATTATTAGCTGTTAAAATATTGCAGCAGTGAGATAATAATATGTGCCTCGTTGAATCCAATTTCCTATGCGTCATCATTCCTGAAATTGTTCGTCTATTTATAATTCCTGCATTAAATATGCTCATTTATATACACGTTCTGCTTCTATGATATGTAGTACATAGATGGATCTAGGATTGGGGCTCCTATGCTGAAAATCCTGTATAGAAACCTCTCATCAGCATATATGAACTTAAGAAACGGACTAGCAAAGACAACGACACATATCCTCAGACGTATTTCTCAGAATTTTAATCAATAGCTACGTATTATTTAAGTTCTGCATTATTTGATTTATTATAATGGTATCGCAAAAGACTTCTTTTTAGCATATTTTCCATAGTAACACGCTTAAGCAGATATTGTGACATGTGTGGTGTGGGCCTGGCCACAATTACCATGTAAGGGGAGACTTCTGGAGACAGCAGACCCCTACATTTTCATAATAATATACAAAAACATACAGTTTCATAATGATATGCATACACCTCATTACATATGTGTATAGAAAGAATTTCCCACATAGTTTTTATTATTATCATGGCACTTTTTCCTTATGGTGCTTACCATTTCGGCTATGCCTTTGCTTTGCATAACTCATATTTAAAGCGTATTTTTTGGAATAAGGGAGAAATAGAATATTGCACTTTTAGGATGCCTTCCGAGAATTCTTATATTTATGTTAAACGTGTTAAATTTTAACACAGATAAAGACAGATAAACCAGCACTATAAGGCGAGATGCACATGGTCAACAGGCCACAACAACAGTTTCTGTATAGACAAGATGCACAAGTAAGCCGGATAATTCTGTGCTAAATAATGTACAGATTAGAAATTATTTTCCCTACAGGATAATTCCCCTTAAAAAGGGAATTCTCCTTCATACCAGAAATCGAACACATTCTTGCGGAATGCAAAGGAGGATAACATTTTTTATAGTATACTATGAATATATTAATACGGACTAATGGAGGTTACCTCTTGTCGATAATATTGACCCGGCTCACGAGGACTCTATGCGTTATCGTAGGATACAATGATACAGGTCAACACTTCACCACGCTGGAAGTGTAATTTTTAAAGAAAAAAATCCTACGGAGCTTATAAGCCAAAATGCGGGTTCATTTATAGTATTTTGAGCCTAGATGTGAGGCCATTTCCGGGTGGACTATTTTTGCCATCCCTTCACATTCGAAAATCTTCTCCGCATTGACGTAGAATGGATGTCTTCTGTGCATTGAATAATTGGAGACGCCCCTTTGGATGATCATTAGGGTAATTTGCTATGGGCGTTATATTGCGAAACTGTGGCATTTCCTGTGGTAGCTCTTTATGAAAAAATTACATAGTATGATCTAAAATTAGTTCCCTACTGAGACCTATCTCTTATGAAATATGCCATCATACAATTATGCAATCTTTAATTGCTCAGAATTCGGAAATGAAATGTGTTACTAATAAGAGGAGCAGAATAGTAGTTGGAAAAAAATAAGAAGATTACTACGCCATGCACGCGTTAAGTATAGATAAATAAAAAGAAATAAATAGAACTAAATAAAAATAAATAGAAATAAATAAAAATAGATAAGGATAAATAAAAATAAATAAGAATAAATAAAAATAAATAGAAATAAATAAAAATAAATAAGAATAAATAAAAATAAATAGAAATAAATAAGAATAAATAGAAATAAATAAAAATAAATAAGAATAAATAAAAATAAATAGAAATAAATAAGAATAAATAGAAATAAATAAAAATAAATAAGAATAAATAAAAATAAATAGAAATAAATAAGAATAAATCAAGATAAATGAAAATTCCCTTCCCATTATATTATTTGCGTAATTTTACACATTTTTTACGGGGCGGCTCTTATTCCCAAGAGGTCGTCAATTGAGATATATATTTGGCATCATCACGGATGGATTAAATTATTATTCTTAATTAAATCTATTAAAAAGATATATTTTCTATTCTCTATTTTTTTTTCTTTTTCCCAGGTTAATTGGAT